ATACACATTCGCTCTCTCTCTCTCTCTCTCTCTCACACACACACATACACATTCGCTCTCTCTCTCTCTCTCTCTCACACATGTGCACACACACGGCAATCAGCAGAGCATCCCATTGTGCAATCATGCGTGTACGTGTCGCAAGCTCACTGAGTGAGATGGATGTCCGGACGCGTAGACACGGCCTAAAAACAAATGTGGAAATTGTTCAAGTAGGCTTTTTTTTACTTCTTGTCACTAAAACTAAAAGCAAGGTATAGTACCGAGTCACCAAAATAAATATTTGTATTGGNATCTGCGGATCCTCACCTCTCTCTGGCTGCAGACGACAAAGCTCTGCTCTCCACCGCTGAAGATCCTATTCACGAACAAGAGGCCATCTTCGTCGCTGTCGTCGCGACCGTTCGCTTGTTTTGGCTGCTTGCTCGCGCCGGCCGCACGCTCTGCTGTTTGCGACAGGCACAGCCGCTTGTCGCCCGGCGGCCGCCCGGCGACGCCCGCCTCCCGGTCGCGCGAAGGATGCTCGCTTGTTTTCGTGCGATATTCGCTTGTCGTCGACGCCGGGCAATCGACCTCCATCTCGTTCGACGTGTCCTCCTCCTTCTCCTCCGGTGTTTCTCCATCAGGCGTGTCAGTGTACGCCCCCCAGGTGCCGGTGACGGGGGCGGGGGCCAGGTGGGCGCGGACGGAGGCGACGCCTAGCTGTCCGTTGCCGTTGAGTCCGAACGCGTAGATGCGGCCGCTGCGTCGTACGAGTACAGACAGCACACGCTGGCGGGAGAGGGTGAGAGTACATGTACAATCACACACACGAGCGCCAGCGTGTGCTGTCTGTAGAGAGGGTGAGAGTACATGTACAATCACACACGACAAGCGGCCAGCGGTGCTAGTCTGTTAAGAGAGAGGGTGTAGAGTACCATGTACAATCACACACACTGAGCCGCAGCTGTGCTGTCTGTAGGAGAGGGTGAGAGTACATGTTACAATCACACGACACAAGCGCCAGCGTGCTGGCCTGTCCTGTATGAGAGGGTGTGAGTACTTGCTACAGATCACACACGCGAGCGCCAGCGTGTGCTTGTCTGTAGAGGAGAGAGGGGTGCTGAGTACATGTTACAATCACACACACGCAGCGCCAGCGTGTGCTGTCTGTAGGGGAGAGAGCGTGTGAGTACATGTACAATCACACACACGAGCGCCAGCGTGTGCTGTCTGTAGAGAGGGTGAGAGTACATGTACACTCACACACGCGAGCGCCAGCGTGTGCTGTCTGTAAAGGAGAGAGCGTGTGAGTACATGTACACTCACACACACGAGCGCCAGCGTGTGCTGTCTGTAGAGGAGAGAGCGTGTGAGTACATGTACAATCACACACACGAGCGCCAGCGTGTGCTGTCTGTAAAGAGGGTGAGAGTACATGTACAATCACACACACGAGCGCCAGCGTGTACTGTCTGTAGAGAGGGTGAGAGTACATGTACAATCACACACACGAGCGCCAGCGTGTGCTGTCTGTAGAGAGGGTGAGAGTACATGTACAATCACACACGCGAGCAC